GTTTTAAGGGGGTTAGCTTGCATTACATCTAGTCTGCTGACTAGAATGCCATTTTGTAGCTGTAGTGCAATACTGATTACAGAATCACAGAATTGCCTAGATTGGAAGAGACCTTTAAGATCATCAAGTCCAACCATTAACCTCACACTGACAAGTCCCCAACTAACCCATGTCCCTCAGCACTGTGTCTACACGACTCTTCAATCCCCCCAGGGACAGGGACTCCACCACTGCCCTGGGCAACCCCTTCCAATGCCTGAGAACCCTTTCAGCAAAGAAATTCTTCCTCAGATCCAATCTCAACTGCCCTGGGCACAACTTGAGGCCATTTCCTCTTGTCCTGTCACTTGTTCCTTGATTGAACAGACCCACCCCCACCTCTCTCCACCATACTTTCAGGGAGTTGCAGAGAGCCAGAAGTTCTCCCCTCAGCCTCCTTTTCTCCAGGCTCAACAACCCCAGTTCTCTCCACTGTGAAATCATCACACTTGTACTCTCCCAACCCTTCCCCAGCTCTGTTGCCAAACATGATCTTGCAATCATATACAGACTGAAAGAAACAGATACTGGTAGAGGGTCCTGTAAGGAACATATCAACAATTGTGCAATCTCAACCCCATTGCAACCCTGTGAAACCATTAAACAATAACATGCCTTTTTTCAGCACAGAATTTAGTAGGAAGCAAGTCTAAATTTCTGAAAAGGAAAGTCACTCCCGTTTCTTCCTTTTGTTTTCAGCAAGAAAACAGAATCAAATTAAATTTCTTGGTATGTGAGTAACATCACTTTCCCTATAAGCATAAATAACCCCACAAAAGTCTCATCTCTCTGACTACATGGTCCAGGAAGCAACAGGCTAATGGATGTGGCCCATACATGCAAGAGTATTTTGTTGTAGGAGACAAATTTTTGAAAAGCTAATACTTAGATAAATATTAGCTTAAATTTTCTTTTAAAGCCTAATGTTTTAGAGTTTTCCCTGAAGAATACCTTGCTTCTAGCTATTAGTGTTGTTTTATACTAGTAAAAGCACACAGTTTTATACTCATTTCTCGTTTATCCTTTATTTAGGTAAACTCTTTCAAAGTGAGATGATAGTATAGGATAGAAGAAGTAATTATTATCTGAGAGGTAATAACTTCTTAAACCATTTTTCATCTCTTCCTCATCATCAATATCAAGGAACTGGAGGGAGTGAGTGGTATGCTCTCCTCACGTTTTCAGATGACACTTCACTGCGAGGGTGAGTCCATATACTTGAGGGCAGGGCTGTCATCCTGGACAGGCAGGAGGAAGGGGCTGACAAGAAATTTATTTTTTCAACAGGGAGAAACAGTAGGTTCTGCCCCTGGCACAGACTAATCCTCTGCAAGAGCACAGGCTGGGCACTGACAGCCTAGCAGCAGCTCTGTGGAAAAGTGCGTGGGGCTGCTGGTGGATAACAAGCTAGGCATGAACCAGCTGTGTGACCTGGCAGCAAAGAGGTCAGCAGGATCCTGGGCTGCATGAGCAGCAGCAGAAGCAGGAAATCCAGGGAAGGAGTATTACCTAACAGCTGGCTCTCGCTAGAGTGCAGCTAGATACTGCATGGTTTTGGTCCCTGTATTACAGGAAAGATAACAAAGTGGAGCAAGTTCAGGGGAGTGCTACCAGGATGGTTGGGTTTGGAGCACTTACCCAGTGAGGAAAAGCTGGAGGAACTTGGCTTGTTCATACTAGAGAAGGGATGCCTCTGGGGACAGCCAGCACCAGCCCCCTTGGTGCTCACAGGAAGATCATCAAGACAAAACTAAAATTTTCAGAGTGGCATATAGTAACAGGATGAGAGACAACAGGCATATGTTGAAACAAGAGAAAGCCAAACAGGTTATAAGGAAAAGTATTTTCCTCATGGGGAGGGTCCAGCAGTAGAAAAGGTTTCCCAGAGAGGCTGTGCAAGCTCCATTCTTGGAGATTTCCAAGATTCAGTTGGATAAAATCCTGAGCAACCTGGTCTGACCCTATAGCTGACCCTGAACTATCATGTTAGCCTATGATGCTCTGCATGTGATTTCCCTTTGCTCCCTTCCAGCTGGAAGAGAAGCAATCTAGCTAAGAAACCCAGTGCAGTCATATTTTCACCACAGGCATCATCACCAGCAATAGCAGATGTTACCATAGGCATTACCAACAGAATACAGTATGGGAATATTTTCATCCTAGTTCTACGTCTTTGGACCAGAGCTCTGGTCTGTTCCTTTCACATGTACCTAGAAAAACCACTGAGTTCAGTTCCCAGCTTGAGGACTATTCTGCTTCCTTCAGTAATTTTCCCAATGAGCACGTCAGGATTATCCTACAATGGAACATTTTCCTCTGGAAGTGCTCGGGATAATAAGCCTTAAGTGCAGGCTCAGTGCCACAGAAACATAACCGCACAGAAATGCTCTTGTATAGATTTCACAATAATCACAATGCTCAGTATTTACATAATACATCTTCTGAATTCTTAACACACTATTAGCAATCTGCATTTAGTACAGTAGGGTCACCAAACTGCAAAATGCTTTGATGGCACCTAATTCTTTTACATTTCAGTATTAGTTTTGATTTTGCAGTATCTCTTTTATTACATCTTCACTTTTAATGCATTTGGTTTGCATGTTCTTTAGGATGTGAAAGCATTTTGCACAAACTTATCAGAACACAGATACAAAAATGAAACAAGTATCCAAGCAGCTGCTGAGAATTCCAGAAGATTCTGGTAAATTTTATGAAGAAATGATGGAAAAAACAAAGATCAAGAAAGGATGCACTACTAAGAAGGAAAAAAAAAAAGTGTTCAAATATATAATCAATAAGAAACCAGTGAAGCAGAAGTAGGACTGTATAGATGACAAGGGTAATATTGTTTTGATACACTGCCAAAAGAAAGTAATGAATTCTTTCACTCACTTTTCACAAAAGAACATGAAGTCATGAACTGACAGATACTTCACAAAGCAGAAGAGAAAAAATACTGAAGGTACACAAGTTATAAAGAAATCAGCATGTCTTGTTGGAGAGAATCAGATCTGCACAAAGTTTAGAAATATATTTTGATCTTGTTAATTTATCTCCAAAAATGTAATGGTTAAGATATACAAAGAGCAAGTTGACTAGGATTTTCTCAGGCAAGATTGAAGAGCTTGGTCTGGAAGGACATAACTTGTAAAGAGCAATATTATGATTGGGTTTTTTTGCTCATTTTACATGCAGTGATAAAAGGAGATGACAATAAGGAAAGAACTGGTCAAGACTGAAAGGAAAGCAGAAGAAAGATAAGACTTGAAACACACTGAGAATAACCTCTGCTCATTTTCAAAGGTCATTTCAGGAGCATAAACTTGTCACAATGAAGGAACACATACATCTGAATGCAGCAGATCCCGGGTTCAAGACTGAGAAGAGATGCTTAATAGATGAATACTATAAAAATCTGGAAAGAATGAACTTATACATAGTGGTGTATAAAATAATTATTTTTCTATTCAAATTCATCCTGTTTAAATTACACGGGAGATGGCAAAGGTAGAGCTTTTGCTTTTTATTTTTTTATATATATTATTTATTACATCAAGTGAGTTGGAGGAAATTAAGAGTAAGGTAACAAAAATTTAATTAACTCTAATAAAATAATAAAAAATAAATTAACCCTACCCTAGCAAAACCAGGACAACACAAGACACAAAAACTGGAAGAAATTATCATAATGAAAAAAAAAAACCCAACAGCTGAACACAAGCAGATTTGCTACAAGGTACAAAATAACAAAATAAGGTGCATATTTGGCAAATGTACATATGCATTTCTATAGAAAAACGAGACAAAACTTCATTATACAAGTGACTTGAATTTTACTGTGCTGAGAAACTGAAAAGAAGAAATGCCAAAGAAATTGTAAGTTCTAGTTTCCTTTTGCTTTGATCTGATAACACCATTTCATCCTTAAGCTGTTTTATCTATCCACTTGTGTTAATTAAAAAAAAGTCAGTCACCAACCCAGCAACCAAGTGCCTTTCCAGTTCTGTTTAATACTCTGTATAAAATGAATGGTCATCTTGACATGTGACTGGAACACACTGTCCCTAGCCAAATAAAGAAAACCTCAATTAGGCACAGTTTCACAGGCAGCAAAAAAAGGTCATGGCAATTTTTTACTGCTTAGATATCACGTCACAAACCAGAGCTACTGTAGTACATTTTTTTCATGGCACTCATTCAAAAAATATTTCTCTACCTGCTGAAATCTATGAAAATGCATTGACATGAATACAACTTGACATAGATTAACTTCTGCTGATTCACCAGGGTCAGGATTTCCCCCTTAACAAAGCATTAAACAAATTCTCTGAGTGGGAAAGTATTATCTACAGGGAACAATGTACTAGCACTGCAAATATTAGGAAGAATTTCCTGAAGTGAGATACATCAGAAGAATAAGTACAATTCATCAAGGGAAAAGATGTAAAATATATATTTTTTGAACATCTATATGGAAAATATACATAAAGCATTCCTACATGGATTGAAATGTAGGTAACTTTCCCCTGACAGTGGATACACATGAGACTTTAGTGGCATGTTTTCACACCTTTAAGTTTTCTTAAAACAATCAGGAGATCAGTACTGCTGTAATGAACAGTTTGTCTAAAATCCTATTTTAAAATTTTCTAGTGCATTTTGATTTGTCTTTGATGTGCATAATACATATATTCCCTTCTCAGTTAAAGGTTTGTCCAAGTAATATAACCCATTACCTTCTCTTCATAAAATGTTGGTTTTTCCAGAGTAATGCTTTTTTAACTGCAGTCTCAGAAATATACATAAAGAATGGGAAAAAATGAAGATGATGTAAATATAACTCATAATTATTACAGAAGTTGTAATGGTTACCTCCAGTAAGATGTAAGGTGAATGCAAGTCCTTATAAGAAGCAACTTTCAGAGAAATAAAATGTGATTTAAATTTGTCATACTTACCATAAGAAGTCTGTCTCCAACCTGCAACCTCCCATCTTTTTGTGCAGCTCCTCCATCAATAATCTTGGTGACATAAATGCTGTTGTCCCCAGGGATGTGTTGGTTTCCAACCCCTCCTGCAATACTGAACCCCAGACCTGGAGAAGATACAGGAAACAAAACTTTAGCAATACAATATATATAGCATCAAAGAGGAGTGCAAGAATAGCATATACTTAATCTACTTTAAAATTACAGTATTTCTTACAGAAAAATCAATAACATAAGAAATAATTGTGGGGTCAATACTTTTTAACTTTTCTTGGAAGGTCAGAGACAGAATTGTACATGTACAATTATAAGAAGGTAGAGACAAAAAGAATTAAACCAATGATAACTCTATACCCATGGCTTGTGTATGCCAGGGTCCAGTGCAGTCTACTGCAAGAATTTATGACACAACTTGCCATGACTAGTAATAAAGCTCTGACACTTAGACTTCATTTCATTAAATACTGGTATAAAATACATCACTGTCTATCAGAGCAAAATTAAAGGTATTCTGACTGTCTGAACAATTTGAATAATACTTGGAGAGGTGTACTGAAGATTTTTTAAGTTTCTGTAGTACCACAGTGAAGGGTGAAAGTGAAAGATAAACAGTGTAGATACTTGGATTTAAATCTGCTTCATATATTTTTCTAGGACACAAATTTGTTTGGCTAGAAGTACATAAAATAAGAAAACTTTTCCTCTTTGTACATATATAACTTCTGTTCAGTGATCAGTGAAATTCTTAGATAAGCACCCAGAGAGCCAAACTTTGGAACAATGTCAATAATACATGCTGATGTGATTCAGGAAAAGGAAGGCAAAATAAATAAATGTTGGAGGAAGAAAAAAGAAACTTCTACTCTTTTCCTACTTTTCCTATCCTCTGACACATTGCATAGTCAGACAAATCATTACTTTCATTTATAATAACATTTTTATCTCTCAATCATAAAAAAAACCAGAAACTATTGTGCTTTATTGCCATAAAAATCTACTTCATACAGCTAGTTTTTCATAGATCATATAGCTAACGGGGACTTCCAGATGAACAAATAAGCTGTTATTGACAATAACCTGCTTAGATTATCACTTCAACCAGGCTTTTATCTTTCAGCTGTACAGAAAAAATAGTCATATCTATTTAATCACTAGTTTTATCCATTAAATCTATGCTGTTAAGTCATTCTTAAAACAAACATATTAGTAATATCTGCAGCCTGAGCAGTAAAATCCAACAGTAAAACATGAGTTGCTGGGAATTTGGTATTTAATCACAAACTCACCAGCCTGACTGCTTGGGCAATAAAACTTAAAGGAGGGTATATTTAATAGATACAGGCTTTTTTAGCAGCTGTATGAGTATAGATAATAATGTTTCTGAAGCGAATTAAAGATTGGGGTTTTTTTACCCTCACATTATTTATGTTTGATCATTATTTTAGCTTAAAAAAGATGTGAGGTCAGATAACATAATGGACTACATAATGGATAATGCCAAAACAGTAAATTACAAAAAATATCTAAAATTGAAATACTACTTAATTGATTAAGATGACTATTAACAATACACATGAAGCTAATTCAGAAGTATAGGATAATTTAAATAAGGTTTTATTTAATTTCTAGCTAAAGCTGGTGATCATTGTTACCATTTGTGCTGCACTGCCAGGACAACTACAAGGATAAGAAGATTATGATCTCTTCAGCATGGAAGAATTTGTTCATTATCCTGGGACTACTAACAAAGAAGCAAAAAGATATTCTAACAACACATCAAGAAAGGAAATTTTCTTTAAAACATTAGTTGTAGACAAAGAGCAATGATTGAAAAATGTTCCTTGGTGAGATAATTATCATCCTTTTGACGCCCCCAAAAATCTGTAGATGCTTCTACCAGTAAAGTGAAGATCTGAGAGTATTCCAGAATGATGATGAGAGCAAATGAGTGGGCTAGACTGCAGTCAGAGAGCTTTCTTCAGCTTCACTGCTCACCTAGGGTATGACCTTGGGAAGATTAGGTTATGGTATGCTTTGATCCTCTTCTCTCCCCTGTATTAACACTGTATGCTTGTAAAGGGCAAGGTAATTTTTTAGCCATATAGGGCTCTGTATTTTGTGCAAAAGGGTGCCTAATACAGCCTGGTCCTACTGCAATATAAGCAATAGTAGCAAAGATAATCCTTCCCATTTTCTTCTGTGCTGAGTGGGGTGCTGATGTTTGTTGTCTGTTTGTATGGTTTTATCACAACTGATGCATGAAATCACAAAAAAAAAGAGCACCAAAACATGCTACTCCCATTACAAAACTGAAGTTTACTATGATGAAAGGAGTAACTTTTTCTGCTTCTCTAGTCTACATAAAATGTAGCTGCATTACAACGCATGGGGCTACACTGTGTTTGTAAGTAGTGTCTGTCTCTGGGATCCAAAAAAACCAGCACTGAGTATAAGTAGTATTAAAAGAGCAGAACAAAGCAGAGAACAATACGTGGGGAGAAAGGGAGAGTGGGTAGGAGAGACAATGGAGGAAGAAAGATATTTTCCATGTCTTTCCTATCAATAATGATTTAGTTTCATTGCCTAATCATACTTGCCTTCTTTAAAACATTTCTTCTTGGGAAGAATGGGGAATAGAATAATGGCTCATTTAGTTTTACTTAAATGACTTTTTCTAATTGCTAGGGCACTAGGAAAATATACTGCAATAAAGCTTTTGGGTAGGATTCATACGGCCAAATGATATCAGACAACTATGCTAATAATTCATGGTACCTTTATAATAAATGAAAATTCATTAAAAGGGCTTTTAAAGTATGATTCATCTCATCTCAAAAAGACATCTGAAAGATGAATCACACTCTTGGTTTCTAAAAATCTGGGGGCTGGATGTGGGTTGAGGTGGGAGTGCTATAAAAGTTCACAACCTGAGTTAGAGTCTCACCTCCATTTGGACTGAAAGCTTCTGTTTTGTTTGAAGACCTCAGAAAGTTTGTGCATCTCTGATGTGGATCCCTCTGGTCACTAGCTATATCAGTTTAGTCTTATATCAGATGCTTACTCTATTTTAAAAACAGAGAATCACTCAAAAATTTGGGAACACAGGGAGTAAGAAGTGATTTCTCAACTTGTTCTTATTCATTGCTCTATTGAATAAAAAAAAAATAAATCAAAATAAACCAGCATATATTTAATTGTGAACCTTTTTCCTTATTGAATGCGTTTAGGAAAACATTGCCATCAGAACACAAAAGATCAGGAGTCACTTTGAGGAATGCCCTCCCTCTCACTTCCTACTTTGCTTATGTGCAATCTGCTTCATAGTAACACCTCAGCTTGGACACAGTGCCCAGTTTCCTCACAACAGGAATTAGATGGAGGATAGATTAGAATGGAGATAAGGAAGAAATTTTCTATGATGACAGTGGTGAGACACTGGAACAGGTTGCCCAGAGAAATTGTGCATGTCCCATCACTGGAAGCATTCAGGGTCAGGTTGGATGGGGCTTTGAGCAACCTGATCTAGTGAAGGACAGGGTTGGACTAAATGATCTTTAAAAGTCTCTTCCAACCCAAACCATTCCATGATTCTATGATTCTATGAAGAGGAAAAGACTACTCCAAAGAAGAAAAAAGGAAAGATAACTGGATTTAATACTGGTGTACACCCAAGTCAAACTCAGCTTTCTTCAAAACATCTGAAGAGAATAAGCACATATAAGATTGGGTCAATGTGTAAACTAGGGATGATTAATCATACTCTGTTTCTTTCCATTTCCACTGGATAGGTGTTTGTAAAATTCATCTGCCTTTGGTTTCCACAAATGCTGATCACTAATCCTGTGGATAATAACATATAATAGTAGAAAAAGGCAGGAGACATTACTGCTATCACAAAGAAGAAAAGGGTCATAGGAAAGAGCTATTCCAGCAAAACTGGAAACTGCACAAAAAGTGCTGTTATTAACAATAGTCAAGGATATTTATTAATATATTTCCCCTGGATTATCAGTAAACAAAACATTACAATATTTGAATGGGTAATGAAGCCATAAAGAAAAAAAATGTTGCAGCCAAAAAAATTCAAAAGTTTCCCAAGTCTCAGTCACAGATATTTCAGAAAAAAGAAACAGTGAGGCTTTGAGCAACCTGATCTAGTGGAAGGTGTCCCTGCTGATGGCAGGGGGGTTGGAACTAGATGATCTTTAAGGTCCCTTCCAATTCTAACCATTCTATGGTTCTATGATTCTATGATTCTATTTACCACTATTTTGCATTATTTTCTACACATTTTAAATGCACCACTATATTAGTAAAAACCTATGTTCTAACTACTTGTCTGGTAAAAAGTAGGCATGGAGGCTCCCCCTACGATAAGTCCAGCAACAGGTGCCTCTCTGTGATAATAATAAAATCACTGTTTAAGTTACAGATGAATCACACTGTGGGTATATCACTTTCCAACAACCAAAGAGGGAGCGTAAAAGATCAACTGCAGCTAGATAATGTCAGCTTTCTAATAAGAAGTGAAGTTAAATGAAACTCTCACTCATAACCCAAATGGCATGCTGCATTTTTCTACTATCCTACACAGAGAAGCAAGTTCATTTTAAGCCAGCAAACACAATGAGGATTGTAGAGGGTAAATCCAACATGGGTTTCCCAGTCTTAGCTGGTAATCTCCAAATAATGAGAAAGTCAAAGAAAGTAGAATTAAATCATAACCTGAAAATGTAATGAAGTGTGTGATTTGTAGGTAGTTATCCAAACCAGTGTCCTCTAGAGATATAAAATGCATAATTCATAACTGCTGTATTCCTGGCTCTACCACAGCATCCTTTACCACCAACAAAGTGACCCGTTGAACAGTGAGTAAATGACAAAATGCATAGGACACGTAATTGAAATATTAGGCTAGAAACAAGTGAGATATGAATGAAAATGTGAGTGTGAGCACCAGAAAAAAAGACAAAAGCTTAGAGAAATTCCATGCATTGACAATACAGAACAGTCCTAGTGATGAAACTAAAAAGGAGTCATTTCTGTCAAGCCTAGACAGAATGTCTAGACCCTGTTAAGACTACAGCAGAGGTGTCTTGTCAGCAGA